TGATGGGCAGTAGCGCCGCTACATGTAGCAAAGCTATTAGTTTAACTACATTTTCCAGTAGCTTGACCGTAGCGTCGCTGCTTTATTTATCAAGTAACTTTCCTGTAGCGACGTTATTGTTTTGATCAAGTAGCGACGTAGCGTCCACAAACGCTACAAAATCCAGGGCAAAACTAAGAAATGAAACCAGGTTTTCTATTTCTAAACAACAATCAGCTGAAACTGCTATTTACAGTAGTTTTGTGGCTGATTGATGTTTAGAAATAGAAAACCTGGTTTCATTTCTTAGTTTTGCCCTGGATTTTGTAGCGTTTGTGGACGCTACGTCGCTACTTGATCAAAACAATAACGTCGCTACAGGAAAGTTACTTGATAAATAAAGCAGCGACGCTACGGTCAAGCTACTGGAAAATGTAGTTAAACTAATAGCTTCGCTACATGTAGCGGCGCTACTGCCCATCACTGCAATTGAACATGTTATGGTACACTGTAAGAAAGAAACAATTGAACATGTTATGGTACACTGTTAAGAAGCATGAAAGGAAAAGGAGGGAATTTCATTTCATTATCTTAGATTAATCAGTGTAATTGAGAGGATTTGAATCTTATTTTGGTTTTGTTGGTTTTTGTTTTGTTGATTTGGTTTTGAACCTACATAATTTCCTTATAATTTTGTGACAATCCGAACCTAAATTTCAACAATACGTGAACTAAAATGTTGAAACATTTAAAGGAAACAGAATGTTTTGATGACAAAACAAGGAAAAACAATGAGAGAGAAATATTCAAAGATCTATGTACCTTTTCACCTGGCTCTTTATCCAGGAATAAACAGAAAGCAATGAAATATTTTCTTATTATTTATGGATTCCTTTTGGTAGAAATGAAAGAATGTTTAGCATCACCTCTTGTGAGCTGAAAGAAATAAAATCTTGATAGTTAGACAAAAGCATTTTTTTCGCTTGGCAGAGGATGATCAGCCACATATAGTTTATTAAGTAGCGAGAGCAGGAAGAGCCGTACTGCTGAGGGCGAACCATCAGAGTGACGCATAAAGCTCAGACTCTGAACTAAGATCAGTTAAAGATGGATTTCTGCTCAAGCTTAGCTGGAAGAGCAGAGCTCAGCGTGCAGAACCGGATCATTCTGGATTATTTTTACCCTTGTTGTTGCTGCCATGGTCCATCTGTGGACCATGGCAGCACGGCAGGTAGGGGCGTGGCCAAACAAGCAGCCGGTGTGTTCAGGCCTTTAGCCACTGTGCTCATCTGTTGAACTGAAATCTAATGATCAGAATACACTAAATGTTTATATATTCATTTCACAGGCAGAGGGGAACGATCTTCCTCATGGACAACCTGAGCCTCCATCCTGATCCAGTCACAAAGTAACGTCTTCCTGCTGCAAAGGTCTCTATCCTGCTCCTCCACAGGCTCCTCCCACCGCCTCCATCAGCGGCTCTACCTGAGCAGGAAGCCAGCTGTATGCCTCAGAGGTAGGATGGTTCAACCACAGGTCAGAACAGACCCATTGTCTCACAGTAGGACTGATGGTCTGGTAACACCAATAGAACAGCATCAGGTTAGAGCTAGCATGGCCGTTAGCCTGGTCTGGAGCAGAATAGTCACCATGGTAACTGATATGTTAATGCTTTGGTGAATCAGAGATTCTGCTTCATTTGACCCAAATATCCAGAAAATCCAGATTTTAATTCCTGCTCTTGGTTTTGTTAAACAGGTCCCTGAATGCAGCACCGTAGTGGCTTTTGGTGGAAACCCCCACTGGATCAGAACCTGTAGAAGAACTGAGCCTGGAGTGAGAGGTGAAGCTAGATGTTTAATAATCCTTCCTGTGTCTTTTTCTGTTTTATTAAATCTCCTTGTTCCTCTGCAGTGGGGATCAGGAAGTCTGCCTAGAATGGCTGCTCTCTCCTGGCTCCTGGCTTTGCTGCTCTGCCTTGGATCCTCCATGTTTCTTTCTGCTGGTGAGTCAATATTAAGCTCTGAAAGACTGAAAGCTGCTTCTGACTCGGTTCTGACTGGTTGATCAACGTGTCACTGGTCATGTGACTCATGGAATCAGGAACAAAGCAAAGTTTTTCTAGTTGCTAAACAAGGTTAAGATGGCGGATTGAGCAGACGCTGTAATCAGAGATTGTTTTAGTTTCTCAAAATTATACATTTGAATATTTGGAAAATTTCTGTTTGTTAAATAAACTTAACAGATAAAAATGCAAATAACAGAAAGTTATGAATAAACATTAAAACGGACATAAACCAGGCGACCATTCAGGTTTATGGAACGGAAAAGATGCTATTGGCTGTCCTAAAAGGCGCTGGATGATGTTATTACCTAATTTGCATATTTAATTTTTTACTTTTCTATTTTATTTATATATTTTCTGCTGTCTGTCAAAGCAGAGCAGAGAGATATTGGCTTAAAGGAAAACCTTGATTTTAAGAGTTTTATAGAGACGAGCAAAGAAAAATGCAAATAATTCTTTTAGTTCCTCGCTCTATACCAGGTGGTGCCATAAACGCATCATTAGTTGTTTGCCAACCACCAGAAATGAGAAGAAAACAGTGCAAAGGCACGAATACAGGAGGAGAAGAAATGAAAAGAATAAGGCTGCAGAGTCAAAAGGCAGTTATTTAATTTTATCTGAGACAACTGTGTCTTTGAAAAAAATATTTAAGATTCATTTTAAAATCAGGTTTGAATTAACAGCATATTTGCACATGTGCATTTCATTTTCAATCTGGATTAGAAGTGGAAAGGTTCCCTCTGCTGCAGCGCAGGCAGCCTTATCTGCATGATGACAGCAGACAGAAAGCTGGAGGCGGAGGAGATGAGCACCAGCATCCTTCACGACCCCAGCAGGGATAAGAGTGACAGAAAATGGATGGAGAGATTCATTTAGTAATTCATCTTTAACTGGAATATGGAGGCTCTATAACATGCGTTTAGCTCACAGAGCAACCAATTTAGAGGAGGAATTATACAGAAATTGTAAAAAAAAAAAAATTAAGATTAAAAAATATGAATCTGCTCTATCCAGAACTCCTCAAGTGGAAAAGTTTGAGTTTCACCCGGTTACTAAAAAAGTAAAAAATCTTTAAGGAACCCTTGGC